TAATTACATGCATTTGTCTTGGACAGTGTTACCATAGATGAGAATATTCATATAACATGCCACTTAAAAATGGTACCACAGAAATCCTTCTATAATGTAAGAATTTAACTGTGTAAATGTGAAACAATTTCAAGGATGTCCCAGAATTCTGAAGAAATACTGCTTTCAAACTACAAAAGTCTGTTTCCACACTGAATTGCAAAGATATAAAGCTATTTACTATTGTTTTAGTGGCTACATATCAAAATTTGGTTAGTCATCCGGTAATCGCAAAATCTACAAGTTTCAATGTTGAAACGAGACTTGAGTCTACCCAAAAGTAAACTGAGAAGTACTTTCATCTTCCCTTTGAAGAGTGCTTAAAAGCCTGTGCTTTTCATTTCCCTTTTGTGATCTTGCTAATTATGGAGCTAGTAGATAGAAAATAACCACCAGAAATTCAGGTTCTGAGAAATTCAGAACTCACTGCTACTGAACAACAAAACTATGCTTAAAGGTATTTTTCTCTGCTCTGACTAAGAAGTCAGCTCCCTCAGGTAAGTATTTAAAAAAAACAACAGGAGTTACATCTGGTTTAAAGAGGCTGAGTTACCAACTCAAAGCTTTGTAGTTTAATTTGTATATTTACCTTTTGGATACTTCTAGGTTTCTGGGTTTACTTTTAATCTTTAGAAAAGCCACATTCCAAAGTTTTAAACTCCCCCCCTTCCCTCCCTCCCCCCCCCCCTTTTTTTTCCTCCTTTTCCTTATCTGTCAATAAGGAAAAGTCCTGTAGAATAAGCACCATCAGGCTGATCCGAAAGGATTGACACAGGAACAAATTAAAATAAAAAAAAACAAGTACTGTAAATACACCGCACACAAATAGGCCACATAAGCCAATGCAGAGCAACGAGGAAATTACATTATTAAAAGTTTTTTATTTAGGTTTGGTCAGTACAGGTAAGATAATATTGGAGTCACAGAGCAATATGCATAAACAGGATACAACAGTTCTTAAAAACTGAGTAACTATGCACACAATCCATAAACATTCGGTCACCTAAGGAGAAAATGCACAGATGTATGGTGGGGAAACCTTAATTAACACTGAAACTACTACAGGACTCCTTTAGTAAGTCCATCTTTTAGTGATAAAACTACTGTACTGGGCAAACTTGGCAGTCGTAAACCCACAGCTATTATGACAAATCTTGAAGGTGGTGCTAAGTATAACAGTATGAGTAAGAATGCCCTTACACAGCACAGGTTCTAGATATACACAGATTTTTACAGACATCATTTATGTTATACTTTATGGAAATAATTTCCATCTCAACTTCACATTAACTCATATAAAAATAACTTGAGCTACACAAACGTCCTCTTAGCAACATTCAATGTAATTAACTGTTAAAATTTCCAAAGAGGCAGAGGTATTGAAGCAAAAAGAAACCCACAAAAAAGGCAAAATTGTGACAAGTATGCACTAATTTAAACGGCTTCTGGACAGTATCCTCTCCCAATTTAAATGACACTGTATAAAAATGTTGCAGAAAAATGTTACAAAACTGAACCCTGCGCATTTACACTGGAGTCCAAACCATTCTGGACATGTCGAGAACCCACAGTTCTGTTACCTTTCATGCTCACTGTTTTCTCCTCTTGAGGATCATGATTGGAGTCTGTGTCATTTGAGTGGTGAGTGAGAGAGTTTTCACTGCCAGTGGGAGAGTCTACACTTTCATACCCAGTACTGAGTTGGTTTATGTAGCTACCACTTCCTCTACCAGTTCTATCTTCAGAGTGGTTGGACAGCTTATTACCATTCCCTGGAGAAGCTGGGAAGTCATCCTCCGTGCCGCTACCCTCCCTATAAAAACCAGGCCCAGACGTCCGCTGATGGGAGGAGCTACCATTGCTTGGTCCGTTCGCCAGACGGCTGCAGTCTTTACCCACAGCCTCTCCCTGGTCTGTAGGCTCAGAAGATGGAGTCCTGCTGGTACCTGGGTTGGATGCCTGGGACTGCTGCTGCTGGTACTGTGCCAACTGCTGGCGAGTCTCCTTCAACTGCTGCTGAAGAACTAGAATGGTACTCTGCATACCCTCTACCTCCTCATCAAGCTGGATGATGAAGTCATTCAATTCTATATAAAGAAAACACATTTGTTGCAAACACTTAATAGCCCATACATAGCTTGAATCTCAAAAAAAAATTAAAATCCTACAACTCAACATTTTATGCTGAGGTTTTTCAACAGACTTTTTCAGCCATCAGGCATGCACTGGTTTAGATACTCTGCCTCTGAAGGAGAAAATGCTTAACTATAATCTACATATTTTTTAAAATGCTACTCAAAATGTATGAGAAAAAAATAACTTCTGGGCAAGAAAGGAAGATATCTGGAAAACAGCTCAATTCCAACAATTAATATTCTGCAAAAACCACCTCATGTATGTACTTTTACTGAAGTACAAAACCTCAGCAGAAATCCTGTAAAGGTGACCATGAACCACATCTGTATAGAATACATCCAAGTAATTACAAAAGTCTCTTCAGCAACAAAAAGATTTTAGTCACATTTCAAGGACGTTTCAGCTCTTACTGGTTTAAATCCTTTAAATACCACATAACAGGACACTAAAACACCTTCTTTCTAAGAAAAGTGTGAACTAATTCAACAGGGTGTTTTAGTACTTATGTACTAAAAGGATTTACAATTAGGACTCTATTTTCAAGCAAAACAAATTTGACCTGAAAACAGTATAAGAAACACTAACTCCCTTAGTCTTCAACTGCACCATTGATATGACAGCAAACAAAATACAAACTGCTTATTACTGTAAGAAGTCATAAAATTGAAGCCTTTTTGCTGCTATAGAAAAAAACATTAGGAAAACTTACTGCAGGATTACTGTCATCTTTGTTGATAAGAGGAAGAAGCAGTAGTGCTTAAAGAACACATCTCTGGAGCTTACTTTACTATACTGTACTTGATAGGCAAAATCTTTAAGCTATGTCCACACTTGCTTAAATTATGAGCTTGATAAATTTAGATTAATTGCATTATCTAAACAGCAGTTAAGAAGTAAAAGGTAACTATTCCAACAACATGTCACTACACAGAAAAAAAAAAAGCAATTTCCCTTAAATATTTATTTTATATTGCTACTTTCTCAAAAATAGGACTGGGGGGGAAGAGAATGAATTATCCTTAAAAATACAGGATACATCAGACTTGGATAATGCCAAATCAAGTCTATGCTATCTTAGACTTCAGCTGTAAGACAAATACATATCCAGTGGCTTACATGATGCCCAAACAGCTCATTCCTCAAGACTTACTGTAATGATCAGGTAACCTACCCTGTTAACAGTCTACCAAAAAGACACTGATTCTATGCAAAACTCTCATAAAAGGTTTTCTTTGTATTTGCATTTTCTCCTTCATTTAAATTATGCAAGAGGCCAGAGCTTATAGGCAATTTTGATTTATTGTAAAATAAATCAAATACTGTAAAATTTGGACTGTTAACACAAATGAACTATTTTAGTTCACCTGAGTTACTTAAGCACTGTTAAAGAGTTTCAACAATGATTTGCCTTTAAAATTATTTTGAAATAAGTCAGAGTTAATGAGAATCATTCTGTTCTCAGTGCATGCTTAGCTTCATGCAACATTAATAGCTTTCATCTTACCAATTCACCAATAATATGTGCAGTCTCAACATTCCTTATTAAATAGCAAAGCCTACAGTCTGGAGTTTCAAATTAAAATACTGCATTACTGGAGCTGTAAATCCCAAGTCCCCCAAAGTTGTTTTGGTGGTTTATTTTGTGTCTTTTTATTATTAATACTACCAGTAAAGGTTTACAGTTGTCATATCTTACTCAATGTTGTCCTTTCATTCTGGCAAAGATGGTTTTACAGTTGTGTATCATCAGGAAATTAAACTAGTACTGCAAGGCAACTTCCATTTTCTTAAAAAAATCCCTTACCATCCTGACTGCTTTTAAGTTCCTCACTATATTTCTTCTGTAAAGCCAACTCTGCCTCAAGCTGTGCAATACGTCCTTGGGACAGCTGCCTTCCAAGCTCTTGATTCTCCTGGATAAGCATTCGACACTTCGCCATTAACTTTTTGCCTGTTTGGCTGCAAAGGAAAGAGCCATCTATCACAAAATGAAGACAAAACCTGCAGGAATCTTCCGCAATCACAATCACAGACAAAAAGGAGATGCAATTTCTGCATGTCACAATTCAAGGAACATTATGCCTCAACATAATTGTCATAGCAGAAAGTCTCCCTATAGTTACCACATGCTGTTCCAATGCCAGTTGATCTTCTTTCGCTGTCCCATAAAGCGGAAGGCAAGTTTTATTACTGCAAATATGAATAAGCATATTGTTTTTTTGATACCAACATCTGGATTATCAGTATGCACAATATTGCATGTACTAATTCTCAATGAAGTTAAATATTTGATTAAAGATGTGCCTTGTAATTCAAAAGATAAAGTACTGCATAAAAATTACATGTGTAAACTGAATTACGAACAAAAACATTCTTCTTTTATTATACTAGTAAAATTTAATTACATTTGGGTGAAAAGAAAGTTGTTTGGGAGGGAATATTAAATCCCACTTAACTTCTCATAGTGACATCTGTATTTCTTTAAGAGGTTTACACATTCTTTTGAATGCTGCCCAGGTATTCTCCTTTAAAAAAATTATGTCTGGCTTTCAACTCAATTTATGTATTTGACAGTAATGTACACAGTCAGTTTCATGATTTTTATGGTCAGCTTTTCCTAAGCACATCTTGCATGGTGAGGAGAAAACAATGTAGTTAAACATTGGCAGGAAATTTATGAAGGAATGTATTATTAATCTACTTCTTTTAGAATGACAGATTTTAAGTCATGAGTAATGCTCATTAGGATATCTGTTTTCCAAAAGAAATGGGAAACAGGGAAAAAAAATGGGAAACGGAAAAAAAACTGAGCCAACAAGATTCAATTTAGTAAATGAATAACATCACACATCTTTAATCTTCATTATAAAAACTGCACTGTAAAGCATTATAGGAAGTAGTATGCAAATTAATATATAGGCAATACAGCTGACTCCATGAAAGAGAAAAATTAAAGTCTTTTAGGACTCTTCATCTGCCAGAGTCAGGATAGCAACCACAAACAGTTCTTTTGACAGGCTCAGCAACATAATAAAGCTGTCCTTTTCTACAGAAGTTCTGCCAAACAAAAAATTAAAGAACAACCCAAACTTGAACAAGTTTATTGTGAATTCAGTGGCAGAACTTGCATTACTTTTTAAGACCAAGAAGGTCATTTCATTTTGTGTGTTTGCTTTTAAACAAGTGACAAAGATCAAAAGAACCTGAGGGTTAAAAAAGTAAACAGGAAATTTCCGCTACAATGCACAGCCATGTTTCTCTCCTGCAACCAAAATACCCAACCAAAAGAATTTAAAATAGTAATTTCCTTAACTACCTTTTAAGCATTCAAGCCTTAGACAACTTTTAAGTTCTGCCAACTCTGCCCCATTTAACGTTTCCGACTGACTTTCCCAAATCTTTCAGATGGGTTGCTCCAGAAGGAATCTGGCTGTGTAAAGTCCTGGAAGCCTGAAAATCTGCTAAAGGCAGCAACCTGTTTTCTTTCTTGATGTGATGTCCAATGCCAGGTCCTTGAAGTTTAAATTGTGCTGACCTAATACAGTCCAAGTCACACATTTAAGATGCAAGTTTCCTTAGAGATGTTCATTCTGTGTATAGCAGGACCACTTTGGAGATAACCAAATGTAACATACCCCAAAAGTTGTTAGGCAGACATGCCATGATTTTTAGCCATTTGCAAATTCCTGTTACTGTACAAGTTGAAGAAGTTCACAGTGCTTAAGTCATTTAACGCTTTTCTCTTCACAAAACAACATCAACTGCAGAATTAGCAAGTACCAGTTACCTTGGAACTGGGACAATTTTAGAATCCCATTAATTTCTTCATGTTAATGCCTGCCAAAATGTAAAATATTTATTACCTGTATAGAAATTTGCATAGTTACCTATAATGCTATTTCTTCCCATTAAAATTTTTCCAGATGTTCTGAACCAGTATGGCACCAAGTAACTTCTCCTCGCAATTTACAAAAAAACACATGCAAAAATATAAAATCAGTAACTATCAGCTGTAAAACTAAGTTTGACGTTGTTGAACATGCATGCAACAAAACCTGTAAGAATATAAGTGGTTATTTCAGAAGACTAGTGTTTGTTGTACTAGGCTTACTGCAAATGTATACCTACATTTAATGATGGCTGAACTGGCTTAGCACAGCCACTCCCTTCATTACATATCCTTTTATTTCTACTCCCAGCCATCAACGATTACACTGTACCTCTTTATCTACAGCTAAGGCTCAGGGTTGCAGTTAACACGTTATCCTGAGCACCATTCAGGGATCTGATTAGGAACATCATCTATTCGATAAACTAGGTCAGTTGCCATGAAATAAGAGTAGTTGCATACAAGGATGGACAAATAAAGCAGATGCGGGGAGCAGGATGCAAAAAAGCATGAAAAATCCTCTAAGTTCTTTACATGTGTCATCATTTCTTTTCCACAAATAACAAAACCAGACAAAACCTTTAGTTGTTTAAGATAGCCTCAATTATTAACCAGGAAATAACTCTAATTTCCTGTACTCCAGCTACCGTATATATGAATTATGCGCATTCACACCACTGACTTATATGATTATTATTAAGGTATGTTGGAGCTACAGAAAGAAAATTTTAATACTTTTGCTTGAAAAAAAGTGTTACGTTACTTGTCTCTCCTCACAGATACGTAACATATGAATATATGCATACACATATTTAGAGTCTTAAGACTTAAGAAAACAACCAACCTGTATCCAAATGTATTAAATAATTTTCTAAACTCCAAGTTAAAACAAGCAGTCTGCATGGCATACCTTTATAGTGAGCTTTACAAATGGCTTGGTAACACATTAACAATTTATTAATTCAAATCTTACCTCTGGTCTGATGCTAGATCATTAAAATCTTAGATACTGCTATAGCAAAATCATTCCAGATGTATCACTTCTAAAAAGGTAAAGTTTTTCTGTAGGTTTTTCTTTTGCTTTTAAGTCATTATCATGCAAAAAAAATAGACCTGCGTAAGTGCACTACTCTTCGATCCCATATTAATCATCTGAAGCACAATCAGTTAAGGTATTTCTGAGTTAAGATACCTCTGAGTTAAAAAAATATGTAATGCCATCTTAATCAAAGTGATCAAAACAGTTAGAATACATCACCTTCTGTGACAGCTGGATGTCTTTTTTTTTTAATTTAAAGTATGAATTTTCTGGGATAAGACTGAGTCATAAAACATTACCCAACTGTTTTGAAAATCAAAACCTCAGATTATTAAATAGAATTCAATTAGCTAAGGAAAAAAAAAAAACAAATGCCATATCAAATCTGCATTTCACTTTACAGAGCTCAGACACACACTCCCCACTGTCTGAGAATGCTACTCTTACAAGTAACTTGGGACAACAGAACAGAGGCATCAATAAGAGTAGCAAAGGCTCCTTCACTGATTCCACCAAGGAAAGTGCATGCATTTAGATTTTTCTGGTTTGTTAAAATACTCACTTTGTTTTCAGAGAACGAGACAATGCAGAAATAACAACCTGTTCAATTCTCGTTCGTCCCAGGAGTTTCACAATACAACAGTATAACCAGTAGTGTTCCTTGAACTATGCATTACAACTATTTCAAGGCACATTTTATATAGAAGTGCAATACAAAAAAACCCCAGGTGTACAAAGGAATAAAAACACCCCACCAACACTGAAGACAGTTGCCATTGTGTGCCTTCTGTATTGAGCGTTTGATATCAGTTCTTAGTAGAGAAGATCGAAAAATTCTCATTTCTGCATGAAAACATGCAGTGAAATACTTATCACAACCAGTTTTTCTTCTATATGCTAGTTGTGATCAAATATATTGCTTCCAGCAATTTTAAACCTGCAATTAAATAGAACGTACATTTTGTACAGTCCTAATTTTGAGGCGTCCACAGTATTACCAACCATCCAGGAAACAGTTCATTATTTAGCAACATTGACTTAAGGCTCCTTCAAGTGCTAGAGAGCCCAAAGGCTAAACAGTCAAATGTGTACACTACCACTGTTGTGATATCAAATAGCACTCATGGCTATTCAAAAGTGGTTAGCAAGTAAACTCTTTAATGCAAAATTCACCTCATCGAGTTCTGACCCAGCAGTTCAGTGAACAAGCAGGAAGTCCACAGTCTTATTGGCAAAACTGACTTACAGTGTCTCTAAGTCACTAGGCTCAAGGTTAAGAGCGAAGCATATTCCACTTCTACATTTTACGGGAATTTTACATGTTCAATTCATGATTTATAATCTCTAGGTTCTCTCTCCTCCAAACTGTCTGTAGACACAGTGTGCCACAGACTTAAGACTTCTGTTTCTCCCTCTATTTTCTTCAAATAGAACAATTTCGCAAATGTCTACATGTTCTAGAAAAGATTTTTTTCGAAGATGGCCATTTCTTCAGAATAGTCCGACGCCGTCAGGCCTCTGAAGCAAAGGGGGAGAAAAAAGCTGAAACACAAGGTTCATCTGGTAAGTTTTACATTAAGCATTACAAGCTGGACAGTATAAGAATCTGGCTTTTGCCTCAAAACGTCTGAGTCTTGGTGTGGAAACGAGTACTTGGTTGTCCCACCATAGCATTCTCGTAGTGGGACTGTCAGGGAAGTCTTGACTGGGGAGTATTTGTTTTGTTTACCTATCAGGCGTAAATTTCCAGGCACTCAGTTCATTTTGGGCTTGTTCCAGTTTGTCTTTAGTCTGTTCCAGTTCACCTTTCATTTTTAGGAAAAACAAGTTGATGGCTGGGTCCACCATTGTTGATCGCAGCTGGGCAACACTAGGCTGCTGGACTTGCTTGAGGTACTGAATCTGATTCTGCATAAAATAAGAAAAAAGACTGTTATCCTTACAACATTAAATAAAATTTTAATGTCATTTAGATACATATAGTTATTCCAAACATAACTTCAAGGAAGCTTGCCTTCTTTCAACACTGTAACCTGAAAAATGCAGGGAAAAAAACATGTCACTTTTGCCCACCTGCACCTATCAATGTGCATATTCACCCAATCCCTCATCCCACCACCTGTCAAGCTTAAACTTCCAAGGGCCTTTCCCCCCACCTCCGCCTCTTGCTGCTTCAAAATTGGTTTCTACATATAGGGTAACATTCGCCAAAGCAGTGACTGGAACACTAGAATATACCCCGTCTTTTGTATCTGCCTGCACTCCTTTGAGGGGAAAAAAAAAGTATATTCAGAGAGTTATCTGCTTAAAACAGACAGCTGGTTTTCATGTAACCTGAAAGTTAGCATGGAATATTACAGTCTATATTGACACATAGTATTTTTAAGCAACTACTACAAAGGTTTTTAAAAACTTTTACATTTTTTGGAAATGCAACAGTCATTCCTAGGAATGCAAGTCTGCATATTTTTTTAAACAAAATAATTTAGAAACATTAACAGAAACGAAACATATTTTGGATTAATTTGATTCTCCTGCAATAACCACAACCCAGAAGATTTATAGTTTTACAATTCAAAATCCAGAAGACTTACAATACAGTCAAAATTTCAGAAGGAGTAACTGCAAGAGAATTCCTATTAAATACAACATTAATTAATCAAAACTTGGATGGATTTAAGTAGGATTCCGTTTTTTAAGTTTCTTACGTTTTAATTCCATCACAACAGACAATAAGATGTACTAAACGGTATGTATTTAGTTTAGCTAATCACTAAAAATCACATCAGCCTCCAGAGTTCCATTCTTAGATTCAGTTTTTTACGCTCCTTGTATCACACACATTTCTTCTTCGTCAAGAGATGAATAAAATTACACGAGATTAAGAAACAAGTATTAACTGAAAGTTGGGGGGTTGCCTCCTCCTGCACACACAACCAGACTTGACAACAACAGTTTCACTGATGAACAGTATAAGGCACCACCAGCAAAACAGAAGCAAAAGCTCACCCTTCACACATTGCTTTACTTGGGACAAGCAGCAGAGTCAAAAGCCCTGTTAGTTTAACCATTTTCATGTACAGTTACTTTGTTATGGGGTCTTTACACAGCAATAGTAAAGAAAAAGTATACTTAAGTACATTCTATTTACCTTAATGCATAGTGACCTCAGTCATTTCTTGACTGAAGACAACACAAGTTTTAATTTATATATTAAGTAGCAACAATTTTTATTTCAAATAAGTGATTTCAAAGGCACTGAAATGACTATTTCCATTGACTCCACATTGATTTGATCTTACCAAAATAAAAATGTTTAGCTACTTTTAAAAATTTAAATAACCACCATGCTTTTAAACATACAAACTTTTATATGCCCAAAAAGAAACACAGAGGGTCTAAACTACTCAAGAACTCACCTACAAACATTACTTCAAAACAGAAAGTCCAAATTAAGTTCATCGTAACATTTCTTACATGACATTTTACCCCCATGGGTCCCTTGCCTCAGTGAATGTACAAGATGTTGCTCACTGAAAAAAGATCTATTTAATTTATTGTTCTTGTCTTTTCTATACCCATTCATCTTTCCAACACTTGCACCAGTGGTAGTATTTCAACAACCTGTGAACTCCTTGCAAGGACTAGCACTAGTAGAAGGCAAACCAGCTAGTTTAATGGATGTTTGCACGTACAGAGACACTCCAGCTGGCAAGGCATTCCAGGAATAGAATTATGCTACAGCAACATTGCTCGCAACTTATTTTTAGACGGGCATCAAAATAAGGCAAAAAAAATAAAACCAGACCATGTTCCTTGTCTTATTTAGGCCCAGCTCCCTCCCTCTTAGACTTCAGCCTAAGAACCATAACAGCTTTCTTGCATCAGTGGCACAAAGAATTGCTGCCGCCTGCTCCTTCCTCATGCCAAAAATGCACGAGAACACTCAAGAGAACCCAGCTGATTTTGTCTGACGTCAGTTCCTGGACAGTGCCATTTGGATATCTAGCTCAGGCCCCTAGGCCATGCAGAGAGCACTCCACAGGCTCTACTTAACACCTTGTTCCTGAAACAATAGAGGAGAAAGTATTTGCTGAAGCTGAACAATCCTTGCTCACTCCCTCCCCAGACTTGAAGACCATTTATTCCTCCAGTTTTTCTAACTCAATTTTTATCCCTTCCTCCAGTTTTAAGTCCAGAGGTCTCACCTGCCAGGTTTTTCACCCACCCAGACCTAGCAACCTATCCTCAATAGGACCCACTCCTAAAGCAATCCCATACCTCCCAACCTTCTGCCTGCTTCCTTATTCCATTCATCTTCCTGCTTATTCAGCCCAAGCCTCCCATTCTTGCTCCCTCTAACCACTTTCTGGTACATCCCTCATGTTGATATTCCAAGTGGTAAAGTGTGGGGAGCAGAAGTGTTTACCTGCAGTCAGGAACAACTTCAGGATAGAGCTGAATATACAGGAATAGTTCTCTCTAATGCCAGACCCCAGGATATGCCCACTCTAACACCTAAAAAGTCTACAGGCTGTTCACATTCCAAAACACAAAAGCGCGTTCTGGCTGGTATTTTTCAAAAGCCCATCAGATGGACAGATAGGGATGCAACTCCACAAACAGTTATAAAAACCTTGATATCAGCTTTCTCTCTGCTCTAACCCAAGACAGGATAACATAAAACTAGGGTTATTTTAGTGGACATCAGGCTGCAGGGAATCTTGTTTGGGTGGATTATTTTTCTTTTGCTATGACAGGCAATAACATTTCCACCCCCCATGCTTCTCACATACTCTTAGAACAGCTGAATCTTTTCAGCTGAAGTTGTACAAAGATACACAAAGAACAGACCCTCTGACATGAAGAATTTAACCAACAGAACACAGGTACTTAACAGAAAATGTAAGCACTCTAAGTAAGTACAACTACATATTCTTCTTACAAGGAATACACTGCGAAACAAACATGAGAAAAAACACAAGACAGCTGTAACCTAAACCACAAGTAGGTTGAGTAATGACCATGTAGGTACTACAATCCAACTGCACCCACAGGGAGCTTCTACTCGTTACCTGTTCCATAGGAAACCTATTTAAGTAGCAAGTATTTCCAAATGCCTGTCTACTCATTGAGCTACAGTAGCTGTGCAGTAGCTTGGGAGGCTTCCTGAAGTAGCAATAACTTGATCACCCCTCTCTGCCAGAAATAAAGCTTTATGTAGAAATAGTAGCCAATATGTTACCTGCACTTCCCTAACAGCAGCAACCTCTTTTATGAGGGCTGTTCCTGCTAGGGGAATGGTAGCTCAAGGCTGCTGCCAGCAGGGTACATGAAGTATTAAACCCCTGAACTTCAATCCAGCCCTTTAGTTAGCCACCCTAAACTATGCAGAGTAGGTCTGCAACACCAGTCACACTCTCAGGAAGCTCCCAGCTCAAAAGAAATCCATATATTCTGCTGCTAGACTAAGCACAGATGACAAGTGAGAATGGAGCTAGGCACTCAACTATCACCTAGTTTCTTCAAAAAGAGTACTGATACAGAATTAGGACAACAATTCTGCCACAGCTATTCTGACATGCACACCTACACTTGCAAGATGATGACTGGTGACTTCTGTAAGCTGAAGTAGGCTTTTATGTATTTTATCTTTTTAAAAGTTGGCTACAAATTAAAACAGTAACTAGGAGTCACACTTTATCTTAGAGCTAGTACATTTTAACTAGCAAGTTGTTTTACATAAAAATCACTAAACTCCCTATGTCTTTATCAGCAAGTATCATTTGAACATGCTATTTTTAAGTTTTAATCCTTTCAAGTTTAAATAAGGCAATTTTGTAAGTATAAAATACGTTTCAAAAATGCATTAAGAGTAATATGAACAATAAACATGCAAGACACTTAACATGTTAAATGCTCCATCTAACTGATATTTGACAAGAAACATTAAAGGCTGACATATAAATAACGTCACTGGTATATTTTACATGTCAATATGGATTACAAAAAATTTTAACTATGCTAGAAGTTATTTTATGAACTAAAAACTAGACATGTCAAATAACTTATCATAGGGTGAACATTTTTGTTCATTTGTGAAATGATTTAGTATCCTACAGCTTAGCTTTGCATCTCAGCCAACATGATTTTGCTACTGCTACTTCACTGGGGAAAAAAAAAAATACAAAACAAAAGAAAACCCAATATCTAATACTAATAAACAAAGTGGTCTTTCAGAGTTTACATCTGAAAACACCTGAAGGTGCCAATGTCTCTATTACAGCTTCTAGACCCCTTCTTCAAGGATATATCTTCCTATCTCTGTGTACTATGAAGATCACATCCTTGATGTTATTCCTGCGTCAATATCGGGAAAAAACAGAAGTCACTTGGGTGGATAGATGCTTGGGTTTGTTTCTTTTCAGTATCCCATTCCCGCCCCCCCCTCCCCTTCCTCCTCTTTGATTTTTAGTACCTTAAAATAAATAAAAGCTCTTCAGAAGTTCTTCTAAACACATTCTGAGAAGCCTATGCATTATAGCTTTAAATATCTACAAGTGCAACCAAAAATCCTAGAAGTCTTCAGGATCTTGTCAAAACTCAAATACCTGAAATTTTTGTCTAATTCTTTTAGAAATAGGCAGAAAAGTGAAAGTAGTACACTCAAATCTTGTTTTGATTAAAAACTTGTATTTCTTTTTATTTTTTATTATTTATTGTTTCAGTGATATGCTCAGAAGTTAGAAAGAAAAAAGAACAAAACCTCTTATTATTGCTGTTCTGCTGTTCCTCATGGCAGGATTTACCAGCAGAACTAACAAGAGAAGCAGAATCAATATACTAGTCTTACTACTAGGGAAGTGGTGTGGGATAGCACCAGAACAGATCTTCATGAGCATCCTGGGCTACATTAGAAGTGATGCCAACAGGTCAAGGGAGGTGATCCTTCCTCTCCACTCAGCACTGGCAAGACATCTGGAGTACTGGGTCCAGTTCTGGGCTCCCCAGTACAAGACAGACATTAGGATGAGGCCAATGAAAGGCCATGAAGATGATTAAGGGGTTAGAGCATGTGACATACAAGCAGATGCTGAGAGGGCTAGGGCTGTTCAGCCTGGAGAAGAGAAAGCTCAAGGGGAGCTTATCAGTGTGCATAAATACCTGATAGAGGGAGTAAAGGAGGCAGAGCCAGGCTCTTCTCAATGGTGCCCACTGAAAGCACAGAAGGCAATGGATACAAATTGAAACAGGAAATTCAACTTAAAACATAAGAAAACGCTTTTTTCTGTGATGGTCACTGAACACTGACACAGGTCACCCTGAGAGGTTTTGGGGTCTCCGTTCTAGGATATGGTCAAAACCTGACTGTGCACAGTCCTTAGTAACCTGGTCCAGCTGATCCTGCTCTGAGTAGGCAGGCTGTAGTAGACAAACTGCAAGTCCCTTCCCACCTCAGTGATTCTGTGATTCATATTTTGCCACTGCAAACTTTAGGTGCTTTAGCCCCTTTTCTCTTCATACCATCTCTTACTGTGAACTAACATCATCTTATGGTCTTAAAAGTAGTGAAAACACCGTGTACAGAGGTAACTGTCACACTACTATACCTGAGAGCTCTGAAAACCTATGGGGGGGGGGGGGGGGGGGCGCGGGAGGAAGGCTGAAAGAAAATAACAGAGAAAAGCCACAAAATAAGAGAAACTCTTGTAAGTATTTCAGAAATTAACAATAAGCAGCTTTTCACAATCTTCCCTCAGGAAATACCAAATTAAAGTAGCAGATAAAATTTATGTTAAGAAATCCAGAAAAGCTCAAAAGTCCACAAAGCGGTAGAAGATAGTTTCAGAAGTCACAGAAACCCCACAGAAATACCAGAGAAACAAAACAGCAACAGAAAAGGCATTCAGTACAACGAACATCAGAAACCCGAAGAGACGTGCCCAATTTCAGAAGAACTTCCCCTGGAAGTCAGTAGCTCTTTCCCCTATCTATCCAAACAGATGCAGAAGCTTACCAATACCCTTGTTATCCAAATCCAACACACATCAGCCTAAAGCTTCCTAAATGAAACCCAGCAAACTCAATCTTATCCTTATGTTTCAATTTGTTCCTGCATCCATCTGGTAGTCAGAAGTAACATCTTTGGTAAATATGCACAGCTGATAAATGCTTGAAGAAAGCAAGCACGGTTCATGCAAGAATCAGTGTGGTTCTGAAGAGGAAGTCCTTTCAAGCACAAGTGCTGCTGAAAATCTACTGAAATAATTAATAATTAAAAAAGCAAACTTTAAGAAGTGATCTTTACTAATTCAGTGGAAATTTAAGTGCCCTGCTATTTCTTTAAGCACAGAAAATATGATGCTATACATATATGACAACATAGCACATGGGTACTGGCTCAAAAGCTGATATGCCTGCAAGTCTGAAAACTCATCTTTTCCAAATACTTACAGTACACTCTTGCATCTCCTGCTCTTTAGTTGCCAGCCTCATCACCAGAATATTTTCTCTTCGGGCAGATTCTTGCTGCTGCTGTTTCAGCTTCTCTTCAGATTCTCTCAATCCCGTCACATCATTAGCTAATACAATAACACACAAAAAGCACATGTCTTACAGCATCCTCTCATGAACAGTTTTTAAAGACAGCTAAACAAATCTAAAAACCAAATTCACAAAAAGCAGAAGTCATAAATATGCATGACTACAGTAAGCTTAAGAAAAAAATCAAAATATCATTAAGTGTTAGAAAAGCTTGACAACAGTTGGTTTTAAATACATCTTTCCAACCCTTCCTTAAAACTTTGAAAATGTTTATATAGGAATAACTTCTAAATTGCTTGCTTAAAACCTAGTACTATTGCAACTTGCGCTCTGAAACTTGGGAAGTTGGAACTGCCCTTAAGTCTAGGGCAGGAGGGAAATCTACACTGCCAAAAAGCAATCCACAGTCTATAAAACAGTGCTATTGGTCATCAATCCTCAAACTCATTTTAACACTCCATGAGGAAACAGCAAGATATTTGAGAACTTCAAAAATGGCAGTTTAGCCACAACTGGCATCCTTCTGATCCATGAAGATTTATGAAAAGCTTACGTATGAAATGAGAGAAGGCAGCACAGTACACTGCCAAATTACTCCAGCAGGAACACATGCAAACAGCATGATACAAACAATATATATTCCTCTCCTACTTGTCATGTATACAATGAAAAGTTGGAATAATTAAGATTTTTATTTTTTCTAATTACATGAGAATGATCAGCTGTAAACTAAGAACATAAATTGCTTCAGAACAAGTTATTTCTAAATAATCATTTGCCAATAATTCAATAATACTGATTACTACAGCCCATACTCCATACCAAGGTTTCCAAAACCGAGAAACTGGGAATGTTAAAGCAACTTATTTATCTGTGTTACCTGGGGACTAATTTTAGACCTATACCTCTATAAACTATTCCTCCTTGCACATGGTTTACAATCTTGCAAGGTCACTGATGCATGCAGAATTCTGATGGGGGATAACACTTCCTTTCTAACAGAAAAGTCCTGAAAATGTACTTATTTGAGGAGTTATGTTTTGAGATATTTCCCCCCCCAACTGTCTGGGTACAGATGCTCCTACACATGCAAAAACAGACTTCTGGATGCTGTATAAGATCTGTAAAGGAAAATAAGCGGCTAGGAAAGTTGGGAAAGACTGAAAACTTACACTAGAAAAGAAACAGATTTTTTCTGACAAGTAACTGACATACAGATTATCTCATTTCTAGCAGTTTTAGAAAACTGATATTACTTTAACACCGATTCATACAAGCATTCAGGTAACTTGTACCACTTTGAAACTTGGCTAACTTACAATTAAGGTCTGTGTACTTGCTCTCCAGAGCTTGCACATATGCTTCATACTGTTTCCACCTATTGCAGAGATGAAGAGAAAAAAAAATTTTCTGAAGCTCACTTTATTAAATCAAGGCATCTAAACTTAAACTTTCAGAGTATACATTCATGCCATAACCAGAAAATGTCAAGAAATCATACAAGTGCATAAATGGCAATTCCAGGTTTTTAAAAAGGGGCTCTGAATCATGGAAATGGTTAAATCCACTCTGTATCTCAAAAGAGTAAAAAAGTAACTGTGCATCACAACATGGAAAACTGATATCTTAACACAGTAATATTTTGGACAAACATTGGGATCAAACACTTATTACGTATTTATCCACATAAAGTACACAAGATACATCTCATTTTCAAGCCAGAACAATTCAAGCAATTCTGTAACAGAAGTCATAATATAAAGATAACACAAAGTGTGTTACCAAGGGAACAAGACATGCAGAAGTGTATTACAATATACTACAACTGGCAGTCGAGGTTAAGCAGTTGTAGCAGCTCATTCAAGTCAAGACTACATTCTGATTATATTCATGAGCCAGAAGCCAAACAGTTTACTAACTCTGTGAGTGCACGTTATTTAAGCAATTCATCCACAGCCAGAAAGCTTCACACTTGAAAACAGCATTGCGTTTCACAGAAATCATCAAATCAGTAGCAAATCAAAGACTGCAGTAAAGCTTTGCCTTACCAGCAAAGTTCACAGGACAGCTTTTGGGTTTTGTTTTTAAAGAAGTACTTTGCTCCCAATTATGTATCTTCCTCATGATGGCACAACTCCACATTGTGAAGCAAATTCATGTATTAGCTTACCATTAGAGAAGGGGTAAGTTTTGGTTCCCTCCCTTCCCAACTACCCTTTGTTCCTGACACCTATCTTATGCCAGACTCATGGTAACTGCTCTATTTTAACTCTATAACCTACATTACTACCTCAGTCAAAACTAGAAAGTTAACTTTGGATCATTTTTTACTATTTAGTGAATTCAAACAGCCCATTAAAGGGTCCTAAGAAGCATCAGATCTGTAACAGCCGTTGAGATCACTTCACTGGGAAAAGCAAAAGCAAGCATAAGATCTATTCCTTTTATCAGCAAAAAAATCTTTCATCTCTTTAGCTGAACATGAAGTTAGCATCAATTAACCCTCAAGCTCTGTAGAAGAAAATTTCTGTATTCCCACTTAACCCTTCAGCTTATCTTTGATTGAAAAGGAACATTCTTAGGAACAGAAGTTTCACCATTTGACCACTAAAAACTCCTGAACTATTAGTTCAAGAGATTTCAATCCCCCAAAGTAAAACTGGAACAGTCCACTAAATACCAAGCCGGGAAAGAAAGAACTTAATTTTTACATGAAATAATTACATTTAATGAAAGAGCTGGGCTTCAAATGCAGCTGCAGAATTACTTTAAAGTTACATCTCACAGCCTGAAAACTGTAATTGTCAAAATTGTTAATACAGGCTGTACAAAGAGCGACTGAAATGAAATGAAGACCTGAAACACTACGTAGACATGATCATCACAAAGATCAAAACACCACCACCATCCTGCCCACAGTCACCAAGAACATCAGAGATAATACCTCCAAGTCACTTCTCAACAGCTGCTAGTATTTAAGCAAGAACTTAATTCCTGGAAAAGAAAATCCAGAGTGCACTAGGCCATGTCACGGATTTTTCAAGTCATGTGCCGGGAGAAGTTGCGGCTAATCTAGCAGTGGACGTAGTATCACCTAGAAATCCCAGCTACCAAGTTTAATTCCACCACATCCCAAGGGTCCAGAGCTACAAGTTAACAAAAAGAAAAATGTCAAAAAAAGCTAGTATGCCCTGAAGCCTCACTTAGGGCCCACTGCTATCAGGAAACTGAAAAAGTCAACTCGCAAATGTCACCATATGCCACAGAGTAGGTCTTTATATCCACTTAGAAACTTTGATGAAGACTGTCCAGAACTACTGTAATCCTCTGCATAAAAGCATGCCACTTCCCCGTAAGACACAAGAACCCATTAAAGACCTCTGATAAATTAGGAAAGTTCCTATACAAATAGCATTCCTAAAAATTACACATTTTGACCATTTTCCAGGTAGCTTATTTTACAGGCTCTCCAGGAAAAATAGTTTTGTCCCCAAGTACATTCTAAAAGTTCAGAAACAGATATGTGAACCTGAGTGGGGAAAAAAAAAGGCTAAAAGCTTTTTTTCTCCAATCAGTTTGGTTTCACTCATTAGTTGGCTTCTTGATCTGTTCAGCAGTTCATGTCAGTAATCTGATAGCTAAACACTGGCAATCTGAAGAGCTTCATTTAAGTGCTACTTGGAAATGCACTAAAGAACAGAGACAGAACTGTACACTGAACTAGACAGTCCTGAATCTGATTTACATTCAAGGGGCTGCTTACAGTCTCACATGAACTGGAAGGTAATTGACCAGCATTATGTAGGTTAGTTAATTCCCTTCATTCTCTAAAAATATGAAGCAGACTGAACTTTGCAAGTCCAGTGACTGAAATAAGTTTAGAAATGACTGTAAGTACATGTTGACTGACATTTAATAAAAGCACTGTATTTCCTCAGAACTGCTTGTGTAAATCAGGGTGCCTCAAATAACCAGGCCAATACCGATCAGATTTTTAGCTGTGATCCACACAGTGCTTTGTTATGTTCCTGGCTCTTCCTCACAGAAGCTCCTACACAATCAAGCTAAGTAGCTACTGTGTTAAAGGGAAGGGGAAAGATGAAGGAAATGAGTCCACAGCAACAAGTAATGAGACAAGCAGAAATTCCCAAAAGGCTGAACTGAAAGGCTTTTTGTTGACCCTGCTCGTGTTTAGTCAACAGAAGCTAAAATGAGCAAACCTGAATTATGTACTTCATGAAAAACAACAATGAAATTTGGATTTATGGCACAGAAAGTGATGAAAAAGGGTATTTTCTACATATGTATCTTATCAGTGCAATTGTACAGCAATGAGGATGTATTACCCAAAAGCAACTGACACATGCTCATATCTTAAAATGCATTTCCCTCCCCAAAGCATGAACCAAAAATAAAAAGGCATTCTAAATCTTAAGACAATGCAGCAGCATTCAACACACACTTTTCTATGTCTAAAACTAGTAGAGATGCCTTTGATTAAAACAGCATTTACATATAATATTTTATTCCAACCTACACATGAAGCCAGCAGTTAGTGTAGTAATTGCCAGTTTTACATGAAATCACAAGGTGCACTTACTATAGAGCCATTAAATATGCACCCCAACAAGCAAACAAAACATAGTGTTCACAGGACTGCTTAATGCAAACAAATGGACATAGCCAAAATGGCATTTAAGTTTCCACTTCTGGGTATAATGGACAGTTATTCTCCTTAAATCCATCAAGTGGCCTTTTTGAGAGCAGAAGTTGCTTTGTCTGCATTAAGATCTGATAGCAACACAGCTGTCATGAGCAAATTCTCTCCTGCCTCTTCATTAACATAGTTTAGCTGCTGACATACTTTACCTCTTTGGGTATATTCCTTCACATTCTCACTTCAATGTATCCTGGAAATGGATCTCTTCTATGATAGCAACTAATCACTGATAATGATTGGTTCTGAATAATTACAGTCAGAATCCTTTTTTAGCCTCCCCTTTTTGTTTGACTTTTTGTTTGTTTGTTTTGTTTTCACACTTTCAAGTAGAAAGCAAGTGGCACAGAATCCATGCTTTGGTACTTTGACAGGAATTTCACAGCTGGAAGTAAGGGCATAGGTAAATCTGTAAAGGTGTTTGCTATTCCTGCGAATACTTTTGAGCATACGAACTTTTGTAAAAAGGTTCACAAGGCCTAAACCACTCAACATCAAAAAAGTATTTTTTCCTACTGTTTAAATACATTATCCTTTACCACCCAAACAATTAAGATACTCAGAAGGCAGAAACCAGTTTTAAACATATGAAGCCGGTCTATGTTGACTCCGCTGGCAAGAACTGTCACCCCAGAAGTGGCAGGATAGTTTGCTCAGCAGAGTGAGTAGCTGATCATATATACTAAGCGTTGCACTTTATCTTCAGATTTCTACAGTTTAATCTTCGTTCCATGAAACAGCAATATCTGAGACCCTAATAATGCTAATAAATTACAGTTTACAAAAAGCCAAGAGTTAAAGTTTACCAAAACAGATACACAAACTATTCCAGCAGATAAACAGATGACCCCCAAATACCTAGTTTAGTTAGCTCCTTGTTACAAGTCAGGAAATTCAGATATACAGAGTCAAACAGCTTAGATTAGTTTCTTTAAGCAGGTGGTCTGTGTGACAGGATTGCCTATTATTTTTTCCATGGTGACATTCAGCCTTCTAAAAAATGAGAAAGATGATCAGGTTCTTCTTTATGCAAGTTCTAGGTGATGAAAACTTCATTTTAACATTTTACTGTTAATATCTGAACAGGCTGAGAAGAAAACCTAAAACTTACTGTAGGAGTAAGGAGTTGACATGTTTCTGATGTTTAAAAATAACTTGCTATCTAGCAGAGGAATGTAAGCAACCATATCTTCTAAAGTTACAAGTGAAGAAAGAACCTCCTACTCATGTATTACAAAATATTGTTCAGGATTTTGTCTCTTTGGAAAAAGTGATTTTTCCCCAAACCATATACAAAAATGTTTTAGACAAGATGAGAACTTCACAAAAGGAATGCATCATGAAAAGGATAAAACAGTTTTTCAGAAAAAAGGATGCTAAAAGGAATGGAAAAGGGAGGCTATACATCTCATTAAACATTCACTAAAATACCGAGATGGAAAAATTGCTTTTTACTTTACCTTAGGATGAGTTCATCTCTAGGTAAAACCTTAAAATCTGCTTCACTTAGGCGAACCTATGGAGTAAAAGGAAAAGCATGACTTACCAAGCAGTCATGATTACCTGGGAGGGTAAAGGCCTAAGTATTTTTAAACATACCTTCTTTGGGAGAGGTTCTTCATTCGTCATTGTGAACTCTGAAGGGGAGAAAAAAAAATAAATCATGAGGTTTTGTAGTATAGTTACTAATTTATACGAAATGCTGAGCAAGTCAGAAACTTGTACTTCTAGCCTTAATTTTTATCTGCAATATTAGACTACTGAAATATTGGTTTCACACATTGCAGAGCCAGAGTACAAAACACCACCATGACAAGTTTGCTGCTGTAACCTAGATATGAAGTCAACAGATGCATTTTTTTCTAAAAGGTAACCAAAACTTCCTTTAGCTGTCTAAAAAGCCTACCACAAATCAATTCTTCCTATTTAACTAGGAAAAACTACCCAACTTCATCCATGTATGTTCAGCTCAAACTGACATTCCGTATGTGCCTGTATCTACTTAACAGTTTTTTTATAAGAGAGAATAATCAGGGTTTGAGGAAAGTCACTTATATACTAATACTTCACTAACTCTTTGGAAGAGAAAGAATAATTTGTGAATATTACCGCTAATGTTTGGGTTATGTCAAAATAATATGTTCTTCCAAGTCCTTATTCTCTTACTTTAAAAATTCTGATAAACAGGAAGCATTAACCAGTTATTTTAAAACCCATGTGAACATTTTTTTGAAAAAAAAAAAGCCAAATAAATGCCTTGAATACACACAAGAGGAATTGAATTTGACTGTGTATGTAGCATAACAGGATTGCACTGTGCTAGATTAACTACTTGCACTTCCTTGAGCTACTGGAAACTCTTCCTTACCTCAAAAGGATAATACATGATATTTTCTAAAACTATGATTACATATTGATTTATAATATAAAATATAAAAGATAAGAATGCAAGTAACAATGAATCCAAGGCTTGCTAGAGGCATTCATATTTGCAATATGCTTTCCAACACAGAAGTGGCATATAAGATTAAAAAAACTTGTAAAGCTGTTGTAGTGCACGTATACCAGAAAAAGGATGTGTCAACTCCTTGGTTGTAACCACTTAGCTTCACAAAAACAATGCTCTTAAGTAGTTAAGACACTCTTTTCTTGAAGACTTTTACAGACTACAGACTAGGTATTTCACAACATCACCTAATGAACTAATTTAACTTTTCCAAATCCTAAGACAAACAAATACACACCTAATGAAGTAGAACCTTTCCAGTGTACAGTAACCACTGACAAATAAACAGCACTCTACTAAGGGCCCTGGTTAATAAAAATAAGCACCACCACCCCCAAAATCCAAGTACAATGTACAGATAAAACAACTTCCAAGCCTTTCACAAAAGGTGACATCAGAACCCACAGAAAGGTTTCAAAAGATATTCATTAGAAGCATCTCACTGATGAATAGCAGCTTCCTGTTCCTAGTCTTACTAACACACAGGCAACTCCCCCACTTCCACTACCTTCCCTCTCACACAGAAGTTACTCAAGCATTTTGCTTTAACTTCTGTATGCAGTTCCTTATTTGAGCTTGTTTTACCAAGAAAGTACCTTATACATTTTCAAGTACATGAGACTATCGATACAAACTGCTGGTGCCCAACTCAGCCATCCAAAATAACACAGAGCAACTTGAAATCACAGGGTGAATGCTCATGACCACTGTATTTAGGTTTGCCTACCTCTCCCATTATAATTTTACTGAAGATTTTTTTAATCTTTTAGCACCTTCAGTATTTTTAAGCAATCACATAGATTTCAGGAAGTTTTAAGTCCTTGACAGAGAGCAACATGATTTTCAAATGTCCCACCAAACTACAGCTGATTAAATTGTGCACAGATGTCATTATTTGTGTGCTCCTCAGAAAAGTACAAACACACAAATAACCAAAAAGGTGAGTTTCCCCAGAGACTTGTGAACCCTGCAGCAGCATACAATTATAAACTCTTGATTGCTGTCACAATCCTGACTGAAAGAAATCAAAGGCTGATGCTTCTTCTATGGGTAGCCTAACACTGTATATCCAGATCTCATGCAAGGTTCCAACATTCAGTTCTCTACAGCAGCAACAGACCTGGTGACTCTAACCTCTACAACCAGCTTGCCACCAGTTACAAAGCCATCTCTTGCTTTCAGACAAAGTCACAAAAGTACTGAAGGACTGTGTTACAGAAGTTACCGCCTTACTGCCACCTACTATCACTTGTAGCAATAGAATCACGCGCTAGAAAAACACACTTGCTAAAAATATTCTTCCGGTTATTTCAGAAAAGCTAGGTTGATCACATCAACAGGCAAACACTAGTGCTCTTTCTGTATGTGTGGATTTCACCTCACGACTCCATGCAGCAGCTTTTGTAGCACTTATGAGTGAGAAAGTTATTATCACTATACATTTCTACCATTGCACTCAGTTTTTCAGAAACATTAAGAGCATCAGGTCGACGATATCAGTTGTCAGTGACTTGCTTTAGCTGTTTGTTGGCAGATTAATTTGTATGCTACAGACATTACAACTTTGAATTTAATACAGTAACTTGCACTTTGAATTTAATACAGTAACTTTTCAAGAACTGTGCAAATCCTCACTTGGCTCTCCTCTAAAGAGATGCCTCTCTCCTACACAGGTCAGAAAACTTTTGCAAGAGCATGATGAAATGCTATTTTCTACAATAAAGAACCACCGATGAAAACAACATTCCTGTATAACTGACTGGAATTAACACGATTATATTTTGTGATTTATATGATGAACAGCTTAGCAGTGCTATCCTAACTAAGCACTTTCCTGATTTTGGGGAAACGATGGCTGCTATGCACCACTCCTGCATATCTGCTCCTGGCAACAAGAAATATAAAACCCTTCCCCATGCTCGAAACAACACTGTCATGGGCACTGAAACTTTTTTTTTTTTATGTAATCTCATCCTGGTTTAGACTTTTATGACACTGACTACGAAAACCAGTGAAATATGTGAAGTGCATTTTAATTTTGGGAACTCCAGTAGTCTGTATACCTTTTACTACGAAGCTTAGAAAATACAGGATTTAAGGTTTCAAAAATACTCTAAGAAACAAAGTAGCTAAATAATATCAGGTATGCTGCTTTACTAGTTACACCTGAAGTAACCGCCAGCTATTTTAACGATATGAAAATGAGTTCCAGAGGGAAAACCCCGGCATAAGCTCCAGACAACCGAAACGGGGGAGGAGGACAGAGAACCTTCAAACCACCACCCTGACCGAGCAGACTTCACACTCGCCTCACCAACCGCGCTCTGAAGCCGGCACCCGCGCCTTCTCACCCCCGTCCCGCCGCGCAGCCCCGCCTCTTGCACAGGGCCCCCGTCAGCCGCGGACGGGCCGCCCCACCGCAGGCGTCCGACAGACTCCGGCGCCGCCGCTCTCCCGTAGCTCGGGCACAGCCCACCCTCGCTCATCTTTAACAAGGGGCGACAGAAACGCGTCTCCCACAGCCGGGGGGCGGCGGCCGTGCCCGGGCGTGACGGCTGCAGAACGCTCCCCGCGAAGCAGCCAGGCCGGGCTCGGGGCCTCACACAAAATGGTTCTAACTGCTTCCGCTCCGCCCCCTGCTCGAGGTGAGGGACGGAGCCGCCGCCACCGCAGTTTGGCGCTCCGGGACCACGAGGAGCCCGGTCCCTCCCGCGGGCCCCGCCACCTCTGGGGTGGGGGGGTGGGGGGGAGCGAAGGCGGCGGCGGCAGGGAAGGGGCGGGGAGGAGCGCTCGCACGATCACTCACCTCCCGCCCGCGGTGCGGAGGCCTCGCTCTCCCAGCACACTAGCCGCCTGGGCCGCTCCCGTCACATCGAGGGCGAAACGCCGCCACCACTCACACTTGCCACCAACCTCCGCGACCAGCTCTGCGAGAACCGCCGCTCCGAAGCCGGGACGGCCACCGCCGCGGCGTTCCCACTACCAAGACTTCCCGGCGCGCTACTCCCGCCCGCTCTTTATTTGCAGATTCTCTGCGCTACAAAATGGCGCCCAAGGAGGAAATGAGCGCCCGGCCGCCCCGCCCCGCCCACACACCGCGCTCGGGGCGGGGGCTCTGAGTGCGCACGCATCGCGGCGCCAGCCGCCGCAGTGGTGTGAGGGGAAATGGCGCGGGGCGGGAGCCCTGTTGTTGGCAGCCTCTTGTGGGGCTGCCCTGGGAAAGCGGCTCCGCCGGAGGGGCCCGGCCCTGCCCTGCCGGTGCGGCGGCTTTCCTTTGGCTGTTCGGGAGTGGATTTGAAGACTGTCAGCTGAACGGGCGGGGGGGGGCCGCGACGAGGTGCAGGGCATCCTGGGGCGGGCGGAAGGATACTGGGAACCTACTGCTGACGGGGTGTTGCCGCCGCTGGGGCCGACGGACCGGGGGGCGGGAGCCCTCTGGCGGCCATGGAAGGTGTCAGCGTTCAGGCTCGCCTGAGGGGGTTTGGCGGTGTTTCCCCAGGAGGGCTGCTCGGTGCGTTGTCGGGAGGCTGACGGAGAAGACGGCACCTCCATGAAGGGAGAGTGGACGTAACCATTAACAACGTCCGAGGCGGGCCCCGGACTCGGTGGGGACGGTGGGGCTCCTGCCAGGCCCGGGGTGAACAGGTTCGCTCTAAGCAACCGAGCTCAGCGGTACCGGTAGCGTCAATTGGCGACGGAAGCAAAGGGAGTTAAATTCCAGCTGCTTTCAGATAAATTAAGCTTCAGTTTCAGCAGTAATAAAGAATAAAACAGAGTGTTTCACAGAATCACAGAATGGTTGGGGTTGGAAGGGACCTCGAGATCATGGAGTGCAACCCCCCTGCCAAGGCAGGGTCACCCAGAGCAGGTCACACAGGAGCTCATCCAGGCTGGTTCTGAATGTCCCCTGAGAGGGAGACTCCGCAACCCCCTTGAGCAGCCTGTTCCAGTGCTCTGCCACCCTCAATGTAAAGTTCTTCCTCATGTTCCTTCTATAATTCTATGTTGAGGTGAAACTTCCTGTGTTTTAGTTTATGGCCATTGCTCCTCATCCTGTCACTGGGCGTCACTGAAAAGAGTTTGGCACCATTCTCCTGGCACCCACCTTTGAGATATTTATATGCATTAATGAGATACCCTGTCAGTCTTCTCTGAACAGGCCCAGCTCCTGCAGTCTGTTTGCCTGTACTTGCAGTCTAGCACTGAGCTGCTACTTTACTTACCTATTATCCATAATTTCTCAAGCAACGCTACTGGGACAAGTAAACAGTTTTCCCTCTTGCCAGTGAAGTCTCTGAGTTATTCTGCTGGCTCAACTGTGCAGGTGTAGCTGCTTGTCAGTGGCTACAGCACCACTGCAAGTGTTCCAGAAACCTGTCGTGGCTCTTGCTGCTCATAGAAAGAACATATTTTATATATATATAGATAGATTCCAATGCACATGTCCCTGCATCCATATATATATATATATATATATATATGTATGCACAAATACACAGGTTTTGCAGTGGGAACTTGAAACATTTTGAAACCCAAGCTATGCTACAAGTGATTTGACATGGTTACCCAGAAAGGGTAAGGATCATGTGGTAAGTGCCCACAAGGATAGAGGGGTTAATTCCTTTGAAGTCTTATCTATTTTTAAACTGAAAAAAGATAATGCTGTGATTACTGCTGTTTAGGGTTTCCTTCTCCCACCTGTGCTTTCCTCTACAAATACCTTGCAGATATTTAAGTGTTCAAGATACTAATTAATAGATTGGCATCCCGGGATATGGCAGCATGGGAGAGGCAGTGAAATACCAGAGTAATCCTTAATATGAACATCAGTGTAGCAAATTGACCTCATTTTCCCATGCACAGATGTAAAAATTACAGTACTGAAAATGTGTATAAGCCAAGCAGGACAAGAAATTGAAACTTTTTCCATATAGAAGAGATACACACAGGGCTGCTTCTATTTTGTGTATTTCTGTTCTGTATATAAATTACCTGACATTTGCAGTATATCAGCAGCGATTTAAACACAAGATCTCCCAATATTTGGCTGGAGTTTGGCTGGTTTTTATTATGTTCAAAAACAGGGCCTCCCTTGTGTGTTTTTAACAGTACAGATAAAGGTCTAGCTCAAATACACTGTAAGGTGTGGGGCTGTAAACCTTCCACCAGTGTTTGCTGTTTGTATTCATGAGCATGTAGAAACGCTTCCTGCATTTTTTTACCCCTTGTCAGCACTTAGTTACTTTAAATTTATCTTTACAGGTGTGGATTACATCTGTGGGAAACATGCTAGCTGAGCAAGAGGCAGCCAGCCAGAGACATCGAAAGTGAAATCAGTCTGGAGAACTTTATATTCTGGTCTGCCTTCCTTCTGTCTTTTCAAATGAACATGTGAACATTGCAATTTTTGTTCAAGAAAATAAGAGCAGCAGTTTGCTAACCCGTCCTCTGATACCTTTGGGAGAAGACATTTAACTGAAAGAGTCTTTTACTCTGTTTGCACAGCACCTAGCACAGTGAGATCTAACTCAGGACTTTTTGGTGCTGCTTGAATAAGTGTGTTGACATTTGCACTGGGTTGCATTTACAGTGTGGTAACAAGTAAATCTGCTTTTCAGGTGATGGGTGCTTGCGTAACCCTCAGCAGCACTGTTTGTCCTGAGATGAGAGGACAGACAGCAATCTCTCCGAGCACCATCAAGAAAGCAAAATTCATATATTCATTCATTTATAATGATAAGATAAAATAGGAACCAGGTTGTGAGTGTGTGGGCAGGACAGCATTGTGCAATTAAATATGCGTTCCCACACCCCTGCCCACCCTCCTCCTTGGGCCCTTTTGGGGGATATTTATGGCAACCACTCTCATCTTTGTTTTAACTCCCTTTGTATTTTTCATTTAGTTTTTGGTTCCTTTAGTGACAGCATGTCACTCATTAACTTAGTTCTCCATTACCTGAAATGGTTTGAATTGTTTTTGCCTGCTCAGGCCTGGGTTTCTTTTTTGACCCTTGATTTCAGGTGGAAGCCAGCTGGAATGACACTAAGACTAAGACACATCTAAGCTCAGACGGATGCTGCTTGTTCCCCCCCCCCTTTTTTTTTTTGAGTCATTTTTCTGTTTGCAGGTCAGGAAAAATAGGGAAAAGGGGAGATAAGGCGTTGTTTGGAAGAAAAAAAATGCTTGGAGTTTTGTTATATGATTTCTTAGCACTTTCAAGGACCTTAAAATATCAGGAACTAAAGAAAGGCTAATCAGCTCTGGCAAAGTTGTCCTTGACTTGTAAGGACATGAGATGGGGGAAGAAAAAACTGTGTTACATCTGCTGCTGGAACAGGAAACAAGCTCTTGGGATGCAGCAGGAAAGGCTGCTGCAGCCTGAAGGTGCCTGAGAAAGATAAAATGTATGGATTCCTGCACTGTGAAGAAAGTGATACAGAAAGGTCCTCCAGGTAATTACTGGGTAAAGATCTGGGTGGCAAAAAAAACTAAATTTGACCTCCATGAACTCTCCCTCTCTTACAGAAGCTTACTGAATACTAGACTACAGGCTTAGCACTTGCTTTATATCTCCTGGTGAGATGTTTTTATAAGGCTCTTAGTGAAATTACCACATATTTATCTTCCATTTTAAAGCAAGAAGTAATTACTTCTTCAGAGAGCTCTTTTAATTGCCAGTAAATTTTTACAATTACATATACATGACTCCATGAAAGCATATAAAATCATCAGAATGGTAACACAGCTCCATAGAGCCAACTGGATTTGCAGCTCTTGTATCTCCAAGACAGCAACATTTGTGATGCTGACACACACCTGTGAACTGGTGTCAGCCACACAGTGATCAGCAATTTTGCTTCTGTTAGGGGCTGCTCACACCAGTGAGTGAACTCCAGTGCCTCTCCCGAAGACATCCCCTGGCTGATAATGAGAATGATTTAGGGTTGGAAAGGACCTTAAGATCACCTAGCTCCAACCCCCTTGCCATGGGCAGCGACACCTCACACTAAACCATGTCACCCAGGGCTCTGTGCAGCCTGGCCTTGAACATTGTCAGGGATGGAGCATTGACAGCTTCCCTGGGCAACCCATTCCTGTGCCTCACCATCCTCACAGTAAAGAACTTCTTCCTTATATCTAACCCAAACTTCCCCTGTTTAATGCTGAACCCATAACCCCTTTCCTTATCATTACAGTCCCTGATGAAGAGTCTCTCTCCAGGACTTGATAATCAAATCAAACCTTTCATTATCAAACCTTGATAATCAGTTAAGACAAATTACAACCAAATGGTGACTCAAATTCAGTTCTGGGATGCTTGATAAATACTGCAAGCTTGCATTTGAAGAACAGGTGTGCATATATTTGAGAGGGTTATAAAACCAGGTATTTACCATAATTTTTCTTTAAGCCACAAAAAGTCGGTGATGGCTTTAATAATGCAAAGGTTGTGGTTTGGTTTTGGTTTTTTTTGTCTGAGGGGAAGACAGCATTTTTTTTAAACACTGATTAGATTATGAGCTTTCCCTGACAAAAATAGATTCAAGGAGAACACATATTGCTCGTAGTACAGCCAAGAACATTTTTTGCCTATCAGGAGCTTTATTTCCAAGGACCCAGTCAGTCAGGTTGGAGTTTGAGGCTGAGGAATTTTAGAAAATACAAATCTCATCTTCACTGGGAAAACATTCTGTTCTTTGAGACATGCCTCATGTGCTGAACCCTCCTATAGACAACTAAGTGTCAGCCCACTCATAAGAAAGCCTGAATTTCCTTTCCAGACCTAAGAAGGGGCCTTAAGGTACTAAAGGTGCTCAGCAAGCCTGAGTGCCCTATATATCCTCACACTATGTTGCAGCATGTGGAGAAAAGGAAAGGCTTTCCCAAGTGAAAAAAAGCCCTGTTTCTCAGGAAAGTGTTGTCGAGCTTACCTGTTTTGGTAGCTGATGCAATTTTTTAAGGAGAGAAGAAAAGGTTGACTTGGCTGTCCTTTTGTCAAAGAACAAAAAGATGGCTTTTTGCTTAGACCAACCACGGAACAATTCCTATTCCTTGTCAGGAATAAAAGTA